GGTAGTCACCGTATTGTCTCCTACTCTTTTTTACTCACGGGACGTAAGCGCCCCGTATGCCATGGGCTTTTGGTTAATGTTACTCACTTCGGGGATCAACATAAAAAGTCAGACACTACACCCGGGCTCATTATTAGAATGCTTGCTGTCGTGTGTGTTCGTCTCTCCAGTTTTACAGTCGTGTGTGTAGACTAACATTACAATATCCATCTAAACTTGCCTTCAATTCAAGCGCCCAAATTGAACCTATTTGCATAAAATAAACACCTAACTGAGCAGAAACAAATGGTCCATGCAATTATATTAACATAACTACATGCTTATTACGTAACATATGTGTTTGTGCACTACATAGGAACAAAAACACAAATTATAGAATAAACAGCAAAAGACAATACAAATGTATCAACAAAAAAGGAGTAATTGGAGTTCAATTTTAAAATTGATAATCTCTCAGCGATATATATATCCAATTGTGAACGCCTTCCAAGTTTGATATTTTAAGGCACAAATTTTGAAAAATCAGAGCACTTTGCATGCAGATGACTATTGTAGACTGGTAAAGTAAAATTAGTGGGTGGTTTGCAGGTGCTCAGGAGTGATTTGCTCTTTCTTTCCTGTAAAAAACTATCGTCTTTCTCTCTCCTCCTCCATTTTTGTGTTTGTTACTCTCTGGTAACACCTCTGATCTTCTGCACTAATATGATCTTATTGTGTTGCAAGTGCCGTAAAACCCTTACTAAAACAACGAAAAAAAAAGAGTAAAATTATCTTTCTAAATCAATAACATAATTGAAAGTAAAGTTTCACCTTTAAAAAATGTACCATTATAATAATAATTTCACATCATGCCTCATTAAAATATCAGAATAGTTTCCCTGAAAAGCCTCCTTCTTCCAGTAAGAATTATACCATTATATTTATTTACTTATTATAATCAAACATCAAATATGCTAAATTTTCTTTTTAAAAAACCAGACCAAACTGTAGACAAAGAATCAAAGAATACAAATGTAGATGTAGAAATCAGGAAGCAAAGCCCTCCCAATATCATACCTGTGTACTCTTTGCCATTAATGCTGAAAGTAATGGTGCTCTTCACATCTGCAACTGCTTTGAATTTGAAGAAATGGCCACAGTTCTCACAATTGAAGGCATAAATTCCAGAGGAAAGGGATCCTTTTTGAGGCAAATGTCTGAAAAGAAAGGATTAAAAACATCAAATTTTGTTGGCAAAATTGGTGGGGAAGGGATATAAGCCTAAAAGTAACTTTTTAGCAACAAGACAGAAGAAATAAGTTTAGTTTTAGTTTTAATAAGAATTTTTCGACATTTACCATACAGATAGATCATATGAGCGTAAAAAATTAGAGGAGAGTAACATACTGCACAAAAAGAAAAGAAGGATGAGAGATGAGAATGACAAATATGTTTGATAAGGAAGAAGGGGCAAACCAAACCACAGCGCCCGTTGATGAAATTGAGTAATTTTACTCAAAAAAGATGAAAGTTTCATTGATGATAAAGTAGAAATGCAAGATCAAAATTTTAAAAAAGAAAAAAGAAACGCAAATATGTTCTTCTCCGTGGTACTCTTTGCTCTATTCATTTAAAATATTACATTGGATAAGTAACCCAGTTTGTGTAAAAAAGTAAAGCAAAGCGGGAGGCAAAGCAGACATACACAATCGATTTTTATGATGAGTTTGTTATTTTTCTGCCAAGACGTATGAAACCAGCCTTGCATCAACTCAAGTGAACAAATAATATGAGGCAGCATTAACAAATCAGGCGCTTGTCAAAATAAAGAAATCGGAGAAACAGGCATTTTTCCGTCAGTTTGGAAATTTTTGTCAATTTTTTTTTTTTTGGCTTAACCTCTTATATGTCCATATAAAAACATATTTCTATGTGAATTTGACAGAAAAACATTGATTAAAGGCAGAATAAATTACGTCCTTTTTCAGTTTTTAAAGACTATATTTATCCATTTGAGTTACCAAACTTTGGTGGCCATTTTCTCGCTAATTTCACAACTGAAACCAGGCGACTTCACTTCCTTCAATTGCAAATATCTTGAGTTCTATTCAAAATGGACATTTATGTCGATAAAAGAATGGGAAATAGATCAGCTTTCAGATGATACCAATAACTTACATGCCCAAAAATTGACGAGCGCCTGATTCCACCGTGTCATGACACATTTATAAGTTCTGAGCTATTTACTGATCGGAGATTGTGCTGCGCGTTTTAACTAACGTAAAATTGTATTATTCTTGTGAGCTCTTCAGTTTCATATGTTAATTTTAATTTTCATACTTTTACACTTTTGAAAATATATGTAAATGTTCCTTGATGTGAGTAAAAGAATAAAGATGGAAGTGAATTTTTTAAAAAGGGAGTGTATGACAGACCCGGTAACCGGGAACAAAGTCACAAAGTATACAGACCCGGTAGGGGAACTCTTGTGTGATTTCGGAAAGTTTTAGTGCCCTCTTTGCTCAGGGTAGACCTAGATTCTTCTAGATCTATGGCGTAAGTCTAGACAGACAGAAATCGTTGATCTAGTTTCGAGGCCAGCCTAAACCTAGATTCTACAGATCTAAATGAAGATTGCGGATGTCTTTTCGATGAACGATCGTTTTTCCTCCATTTTGGAGTTGAAGGAATCACACTTTGAAGAAAATAACAATGTCATAATTTCAATCGAGCAGTCACCCTCGAACTCTATTTCTCTGCCCCTCTCTCTCTCTCTCTCCTCTGCCTCTGTGTACGGCTTGCCTTCTCTTTTTCTTTGTTTGTCTCTGTCTTTCTTTCTCCCCCACCTACTTTCCCGCCACTCTATCTTTCTCTCTTTCCCTCATACCAACTGGGGCATGTCATAGGCTATTATTGCTAGCTCTCTCTCTCTCATACACCCACACCACCGGGTCTGGGCGCTGAAACTTTCAGAAATCACAAAAGAGTTCCCCTACCAGGTCTGTATAATTCGTGACTTTGTTCCAGGTTACCGGATCTGTATACACTTTGTTTAAAAAAATATTTCAAAAATATAAAATAAATTAAATGTACTTTGTGAACTTAAATTTGACCTTGATACCTGGCATTGCAGTATAATTCTTGTGAGCTCTTCAGTTTCATGTTAAATTTTAATTTTGATTTTCATATTTTTACACTTTTGAAAATATGTGAATGTTCCTTGATGTGAGTTAAAGAATGGAACACAAATAGGAAGAGGCTAGCCGTACTTAAGTACAGCTAGACTGCCAGGCTAGCCGTACTTATTCTAAATATGGTGGCTAGACAGACCATTAAAAAAAAATAGGCCTCTAACTGAATTGTAAATATAAATTTTTAGTGTGCAGTACCTAAAGTATTTTTTGGGTATTTGAGACGAAACTAGGTGCCTTAATGACAGTGCATGTATTTTAAACTTAAAATACGGG